TATATATATATATATATATATAAATTCCCTTTTTTTCAAGTCACACACCAACCTTTTCCTAAAAATTCTATCAACATATTCTCATAACTTCTTTCAGAAAGATTTGGTGGCAAGTTGCCCACGAATAAAGCCAAGTTGGGTCCATGGGGGTCTTGCTTTAACTGTAGATAGAACCGCATTAGTTCCATTTGCCTAATAGAATCTTTTCCCAGCTTCTTAACGATATCCCAAGGTCTTTCGTCCCAGGACAAAACCCTTTCCGTCACTGATACATACAAAATTCTCTTTACATCTTGTGCAATAACATTTACAACACAGAATCTTAAAGAATATTCGAATAATAAATTGTAGACTTCGGATTTAAATAAAAACGTACCGCCACGGTCTAAAAGAATTTCACTGCACCTATAGTCATCGCAATTAAAATTTTGTAAACCAAACTTCTCAAGTGCTTCGTTTATTAAGTCTGCAACAGTTGTTGCTTCGGTAACAGGTACTATACAGAATGACTCTGATACCTGCAATTTGCCGGGATAAACTCGTACTTCCCCACTGTCGTTATTTCTGAAATCATGTTATAATATTGCGTCAAAATTCTTTTTTGCTTTTCTTATAGACATAATTAAACTAGTAATAAAAAATAAAATTCTATATATTTAGATAAATGTAGTACAAACTTACTTAAATCGTAAGAACACAGCCGGACGTTTGCCTTCTTGGCGATTTAAATTTAAAACAGGTGTCGGGTCACACAACTCAGTTTCCTCCGCAGCATACAGGTCGGTTAAGTAAAAGTTACCTGAATTTTCCGGAAAAAAAAATATATATACATTGGTTTGATTAGCAAGCTTAACAAGAGATTCGTATGTCTACTATAATATAAGATTTTTCATATGTGTGCATACTAGGATCTTTTGTGATGTGAAATGCGCGCAATGCCAATGTGAGAACCTGCTCTGTCGTAGCCTGCCTGGGTACCGGAATCACTCGAAATATTCTTCGCCTCAAGGAGCTGTTGCCGTCGTACACTTTAATCATCTCTGTAATGTAAGAAAATATATATATATATAAATTCCCTTTTTTTCAAGTCACACACCAACCTTTTCCTAAAAATTCTATCAACATATTCTCATAACTTCTTTCAGAAAGATTTGGTGGCAAGTTGCCCACGAATAAAGCCAAGTTGGGTCCATGGGGGTCTTGCTTTAACTGTAGATAGAACCGCATTAGTTCCATTTGCCTAATAGAATCTTTTCCCAGCTTCTTAACGATATCCCAAGGTCTTTCGTCCCAGGACAAAACCCTTTCCGTCACTGATACATACAAAATTCTCTTTACATCTTGTGCAATAACATTTACAACACAGAATCTTAAAGAATATTCGAATAATAAATTGTAGACTTCGGATTTAAATAAAAACGTACCGCCACGGTCTAAAAGAATTTCACTGCACCTATAGTCATCGCAATTAAAATTTTGTAAACCAAACTTCTCAAGTGCTTCGTTTATTAAGTCTGCAACAGTTGTTGCTTCGGTAACAGGTACTATACAGAATGACTCTGATACCTGCAATTTGCCGGGATAAACTCGTACTTCCCCACTGTCGTTATTTCTGAAATCATGTTATAATATTGCGTCAAAATTCTTTTTTGCTTTTCTTATAGACATAATTAAACTAGTAATAAAAAATAAAATTCTATATATTTAGATAAATGTAGTACAAACTTACTTAAATCGTAAGAACACAGCCGGACGTTTGCCTTCTTGGCGATTTAAATTTAAAACAGGTGTCGGGTCACACAACTCAGTTTCCTCCGCAGCATACAGGTCGGTTAAGTAAAAGTTACCTGAATTTTCCGGAAAAAAAAATATATATACATTGGTTTGATTAGCAAGCTTAACAAGAGATTCGTATGTCTACTATAATATAAGATTTTTCATATGTGTGCATACTAGGATCTTTTGTGATGTGAAATGCGCGCAATGCCAATGTGAGAACCTGCTCTGTCGTAGCCTGCCTGGGTACCGGAATCACTCGAAATATTCTTCGCCTCAAGGAGCTGTTGCCGTCGTACACTTTAATCATCTCTGTAATGTAAGAAAAAAAAAGAGTAGATTCATGGAGATTATAGGCGAGGAAATCCCGAAACCGTTAATCGGAAGTTGTATTGAAATACCTTCGTCACCTCTTTCTTTGTCTTCTTTCTCTTTAGGAGAACGCGGATCACGGCCATGCGCTGCTCCCTGTGTCGGTTCTCCATTATCACGATACCTCGCGTCGCTACCAAATTCTTCTGACGTGCTCCGCGCTGTGAACACAGAAAAAGATCACATATTTCGAATGTTGGAAAATATATTTGGAATAACAAATTACGCACGCGATATGATACCTAAATGAAACATACAATCTAAATGTATAATACATCTTCTTCCGCGCTGTCTAAACTCTGACGTCTAAACGTTTATTTCTTCATTACTCAGATAACATTAATGGTATCTCTCTTTGATTTCTTTTTAATCTTTCTTTTAAAAAAGAGTTATAAAATATTATATATTAAAAACGACAACATAAAATTTAAATTGTGCAATTTTTAATCGTCCAATAAGTAAAACAATTTCATCTTTAGATTATAATAATTTATTATTTATTATTATTTCTTATTATTAACTATATTAAAAATTGCCAGCTTTCGATATGAATATAGATTTAAAAAAATAAATCACAAATTTGTCGTATAAAAATATTCCATTTGAATTAGGCATTTTAAGAAGAGTAATGAATGAGAATTTAAAAACAAATTTATAAAACACAAAGAGCACAACATTGTATAACAACTCTGTTTATCATTCAAGAATAAATTACGCAACTCTTACCATCGAATATTTACGATAGGTTTGTAGAACACACACACGATAGGAAGAATTAGTCAGTAGTATTCTTGAACTTCATTTCACTGCATAGTAGAGTGATAAGCATCATGGAATCTCATAGCATCCAGTGGGCTGAATGACAGTGCATGCACTGAAGCGAGACATACATACATGCTAAAACGTAAACAGTAACAAAATAACATCCATAAAAAAACGTTGGTGCACCATGATATTTATATAAATGCATGTCGCGTGACAAACTATTATATATATATGTATATATCCGCTATGCGATGTATTTATTATGCTTTTGAAAAATATGTCATTGTTTCCTATTTCTTAAGATTAAATTCCTAGTATCATATTGCTCATTAATATCGTATCACTTGAATTGAAAGAAATAATACGAAAGATGGAGAATAATCTTACTCTAGAAGGAATCGCCTATAGAGAAAAGTGCTCGCCCAATTTTTACAAAATTATGTATTTATCTTTATAATATATTGGCCATATACATATGATTTAAAAACGAACATGTGATAAGTACAAGATTAGAGATTTATATATTACGTTATATTCATATTTTATAAGCTCATATAGAGAGAATGTGTATTGTATATTCCTCTATAATGTAGCACTAAAATGTATTTGATATTAATGTCAAAAACAAAAAAAAATGATAGAAGCTCAAAGCTAAATATCTGCATTGCTGTTAGGCAAACTTAAAAAAATGTATAAATAAATACGATTGTGTCTTTTAATATAGCGCTTTCTCTCAGTCGCAAGTGTTAAATAAAGTGATTACATGTAGAGATAGAGAGATAATAACAGCGAGAGTAACGACAGCACTACAGCATATATATTTCAATTTCTCTCAGTTTTGTACGATATAAGTACATTTTAGAATTGAATACATTCACACAGATGAATGTCTGAGGATGATAATATTCTAGATACCTCGAACATAAGGAGGGGAAGCATGACAATTTCCATGGCAGCTACGTGGCAAAACTAGCGAAAGGCGCCTCAAAGCTTCGGCTAGGCGGCCTGCAGCCCCATTTTGCTCACTCTCAGCGAAATCGAATTGCTCTCCGATGTTATCTTCACATAGAAGCAAAGGTAGACCGAATATTTTAACCAATTACCACAATTTTTCAACTCTACAAAATTTCTCTTTTTCTCCTCTTAGATATGGTTATAACTATGGCAAAACTATTTTCTTTTTTGTATTGTACTATCAAATTTACTTATAATTACGTTAGACGAAGAGACGCTTTTTTTTTGCTTTCTACCATGTCGAATAACGTCCGAGGCTTCTAATTAAAAAAAAATAAAATGTCACTATTCTTTCAACTTCTTTTGTATTTTCCTCGTGAAGATATTTTGTAAACACCAATATTTTTCTAATCAATAATAATCTAATTAAGCTCTAGAAAAAAAGATGCTGAATCTATTAAAATATTTGACGCCTATTAAAAGCAACATTGAAATTAGCGATTAATAAGAGCAACCAGCCACAAAAGCCATATAGTTTACAAATATATTGTAAACAGAATACGCGTAATTAAACTGACAGATGTAGTTTCAATGTCAAGAAGATTATGATTTCAGTACAATTAACAAATTTATTTACGCAGCTTAAGATTCACATAAAATGTATACGTCATATAATCCTCTAGACCTATACAAATTTACAACTCTTCAGCTACTGTATAATGATGATAGACGGTAATGACAAGATACAATTTTTACAACAAATTCTCACGTGATATATTCGATAATACAAATGATTGAATATAGAATTGTGAGTGTTGTAATGATCATAAGTAGCACAGTCACACACTTTATATAATCCAAAAGTTTATTTTTAATTTCCCTGCATCCAGCCGACACTGTGTATAAATTGAGTTTAAGACATATCAACGATATACAAAGTTTGTTGTAAACCACAGAAGTGCATTTTGTAAGAAAGTATTTTATTTTATTTTTATTTTATTCTATAAAAAAATCAAGATTTTTTTATAGTTTGATAGTTTTGATAAGAATGGACCATCATATTTGGAAAAATATATGGAAAGCTGAGAGTGTAAGAAACTGCAAATAGCAAATGTAAAAATACGATACATACACATATTTATATGTGAAATACTAGAAATAATATATATATATTTAAAAATATATTAAATCAATGATAAAATCTTTGGCTAATAATATTTCACGTAAATATACATATATTTTATGATTTATGATAAGGTGAAACAATATGAAAGTTTAATCCTTTAGAATACAGATAGAGTCTTTCTCGTTTCACATATCGAAGAAAGTCAACGCGCGTTGCATGCTCTGAAAAGAAGGAAGAACAGATATATGTTTACAAAACCGACGGTATTTATACACGCGTATATGTATGAATGAGTGCTAAAATAAAACTCATGCAAACAAATTTATGTTTCAAAAATTGGTTATATCTTTTACAAGAGTATACTTCTACGAATATATATGAATAAGAAATGTTTCGATACATTCTCTTTTAAATTTTAGTATGTAGATGTACAATATTTTCTGCTACCAATCATTGGTGCACAATTTGCATACGTGTACAAGGGTGTGTGTGTGCTATATGCATAGTAAAAATAGATATAAAATTTCATACATGTTTGATTTATACAGGTGTGAAAATAATCGATTGTGTCAATAGGTAATACTGTAATGCAAGAATGAGATCGATTGAAGGAATTTTTATAAAGCGCTAATCAACAATGAAACTCACGGTGCAAGTGAAGAATGCGATAATTAACGCGTGACATATTCAATTAAACGGATACATTTTGAGCAAAGCTCTCACATTTTTGCCATTATGTGTTATCTGAGTCTGATACATTGATATTACTCGTAGAAAAACATAAATTTAAGAAAATAGTATATTTAATGTGACATATACACGTATATACACACAAAACTATATAATTATGCTATATATCTATAGATAAATGCGTGCATTGGTAATTATCATTCGAACATTGTTTTCTTTTTCTTTTTCTTTATCATACAAATTACAGATACAGTTTCATTTATGTCAGTGTTGACACTTTTATACGCGACTATGTTATTAAATCTGTTTTATTAGAACAGGTTTCGCTTTAGTCTTCTATCTTTTTGTCTTTTTAAGAAGAATATCGTTTTAATATACGAATTATATTTCTGGTAGAACCAATTATAATAAAATATTTGCGTACCTTTGCGATACAAATTTTGTAATAAAGCTCAATTCCTCATTCTATTATTCTAATTACCTGTTAACACGCACACCGTGATTACACGACAGACACTTACGGCAAGAATACTCACGAGTCGGCACTTCTTTACGACGCACTTGTACTCCAATGATGGCTTCCATGGGAACTTCGGTACGCGGAATACTAACTGCATGTGGTGGCAGGTAAATTGGTTCCAAGTTACCAAAGGTGCATTCTTGGGGGATATTCTTGTAACAATACGCGTGCGACTGAGAGACGAAATCAAAATTTATCATTAAGTGTTTATACTTTAACGGACAATCTTTAAAATCATGCTAATGGAATATGCTTTTGTCTCTATTTATACAAGAATGTAATTTGCTTTCGTGTATTTCGTTTTAAAAATTAAATGTATTTGCATTGTACTGCAATGTTTCACTCTATACTCAATACTAATTCCGTTAACGAAACAAAAGCAAAAAGCAATATATGAAATATAAATCCTTTTTTTTTTACCGTCATGCCGCACCACTCGCAACGAAACCCGGCAAGGCACTCGACAGTAAAACAACTCTTCTTGCATACAGCGCATTTAGAGCTACTCGGAAGATTGCCTTCCCGCCAGTGATGAGTGTGTTTCACTGCTGACAGGTCCTTCCCAGGCAAGTACGTGGCATTCTCCTTGCAGTCTGCCACCGCGAAATCTTGGCATTCTATGTGCACGAAGTACTCGCATACTACCGGCAAACGAGGGCATTTACAATTAGCGTATTATCTTTTTAGGACCTTTATATAAATTTACAAAGATGATATTTATTAAAGGCATCAATAATTAGCTAATAAAACGATTCAAAATTCCACAGCTAGGCACAAATTTCAACTCACTTTCGCAGTGTATGGATGGATTATTATCATCCAAACGTTTCCGACAGACGTTGCAGAATTTTCTTTTATGATGTACTTGTTCGGACCAACAGTGTGCGACCGGGTTCTATAACATAATAAAAATATGCTCTATTAATTTTATATTATCATAACAGATATAAGACTCTGAGGTAAAAAAGAATCTCTGCAGTGTCAAGCAAGTATCGTTTCTTGTGAACTCTATGATTTTCTAGCTTCTTAATTATAAAATTTACGCTAAATTATTTTACTGCAATATTTTTAATTATTTCGTGATATCCCTAGAAGACAAGATTGCTTTTTTATTGCCACATAAATGAAACAAAATCGGTAAATATAGATGTTATATTTTTATGCGTATAGGGGCGGTTAATCGTGCGTTGCAGCGGAGATTGATTATTATCCTACCTTAATCAGGCTTGCCGCGATGCTGGAGCAGGGAGAGACGACGGCCTTGAGACAGCGGTCGTGCACCACGAAGTTACACACTGCAACAAATAAAGGATTTTAGAAAAAGGAAAAATATACAGAAAATTAATTATTACATAGGATTTACCGACTAAGCGGTAATATGTACCATAATGTAAATCAATATGAGCCACTCATGTCGTAATTTATAACGAGATCTTCTGACCTTTCACGATGTAAGTAAAAACGTCGAGAATCAAACGCGGCTTCTTAATATAAAAATTTTTATTTAATATTTTCACCGTTAATTGCGACTCACAAATATGCATGTAATAGTTTATCAAATTTCTACAGAAGCCAAACAAAAAATAAAATTTTTCAAATAGTTTCCGTTACATAAAAACCGGTTGATAAAAAGTTACAGGTTTCATTAATCCTTATGGTATTTTTTCTAATTTATTATCTACATATTTTTTCCGGAAAAAAAAAAAAAAAAAAAAAAACTAATGT